TGGCGTCTCCGGAGCTGGGAGGGGTGGCTGCCAGACTCTTACAAACCCCAGGAAAGTGTTGCCCAAGTATTTTCCTTCCTCAGATGAAAAGATTGCAATGTTCCCATAGCGTAAGTGTGTAGTCTTGTCCCACATGTTAACCCTAACTACAGAGCCCTTGGGCTGGCGTCACCCATTTTTACTTGGCTGCATGTATTTCAGCATATGACTGTTTGTGAGTTCACACTACTGAGTAAGGTGTTATGCTGCACCTGATAGTAGAGGGAGCTCTGGACCTGAACAACCCTCAGGGTTGTCCCGATGGGGAGGAAGGAACAGTCTTCACATCCTAAGTCCGTCAGTCATCACACACAGGTTGCCTTTGAAAAGGAAGCATGACCTTGGGGAAAATTCAGTGCCTGAACGCTACAGGCACGATTTGAAGAGCGGTATAGTTAAAAGCTGTTGGGACTAAATTACCAGCAGCTCAGGAAGCCTGTCCTTCAGTCCTTACAGAGAGCCCAAAGGAGAGAGCCTAGTTTAAAACGTCCAGTGGGACTGTTGCTGTTGACCCAGAATTGCCAGGTGTGATGGCTAATATGGTCACCCTGGCCGGGCTCTGGATTACCTTGGAGATGACTCTCTGAGCAAGCCTGTAAGGGACCTTCTGGACTAACTGAGGTGACAAGAGTTCCTTAGTGTGGATGGAACAATCTGTTAGACTGGCTGGCATTGTGGATCGCACAAAAGGAGAAGCTTGGAAGACCAGCATTCATCTTCCTCTGCTTCCTGGTTGTGGATGGGATGCGATTGCTGCCATGACTTCCACGCCAGGGTGCACTGTACCCTCCAACTCTGACCACCATAAACTCTCCCTTCCTTGAGTAGTGTTTGTCATGCATTTCACCACACCAATGACAACAGGAATAAGGCTGGAGAGCTGGCTCAGCAGGTAAGAGCACTGCTGCTCTTGCAGAGGGCCCAGGTGAGATTGCCAGCACCACACAGTGCCTCACAACCATCTGCAACTCTGTTCCAGATTTGATGCCCTCTTCTGGCCTCCACGAGCACCAGGCACGCAGGTGGTGCATAGATATGCATGTAGGCAAAACACCCATAACGAAAATAAAAATCTTAAAAGGAACACACACACAGACACACACATATTGTCCCTGTAAGATGCCTACAATTGGAATTATCTTCTAGAACTTAATAAAAAGATGTACATCTAATTCTGCTTCAACCATTTTTTCCCCCATGTCTTCCCTCTCCCTGGTCTGTACAGGAAGAACAGAACGTGAGGAGGAGGCTGCAGCCTTGTGACCTAGTGCTGGGAGGTGACCCAGAGTGGGAGGATTGTCTTCCCGAGGTATCAGCGGTGACCATTGGCAGGAAAGCCTGTTTCATCACCACGCTAGCCTATTCTCATGTGTCCAGGGAGACAAGATGATCAAACAGGGATGGCATGGAAAATGTCATAGGACAGTCTCCTGTGTGGCAAGGACCGGTAACACTTAAAAATAAGCTTTCATTTAGAGCGCGTGTGCACATGTGGAGGTCAAGGGACAACTTGTGGGTATTAGCTCTCTCCCTGGCCCTTACTCACTGAACTCAAGAGACCCCAGGGAAGGTAAATGGTCTTGAACCATCTTTCAAGAATGGCAATCCACCGGGTGTACTGCTGGACGCTGGCAGTGCAGGGATAGAAAAGACAAGCTGGAGACAGATCCTCTCCCATGAAGCTGTCTGGGGAGAAGGACTTCCCCGCCTTCCCATCTATTATTTATGAAGGTTTCCGGACACCGTCAACTCGGAGTATCGCAGCTGTGCTCTATTAGGGTGCTCGCCTCGTTTCCATGCCAGAATCACAACTTCCATTTTATTATTCCAGCAAAAGACCTAGGGTCCCACCTGAGCCACAACATTGTCACTCTGAGGCAGTCCTGATATTTAGTAGCTGAAACTGACCAAAGGCAATTTTACTTTATGTGAGATTAAGATACAAAGAAGGCTTAAAATGATCAGTGTTTGGCCGGGCAGTGGTGGCACCACCCTTAATCCCAGCACTCGGGAGGCAGAGAGAGGTGAATCTCTGTGAGTTTGAGGCCAGCCTAGTATACAAAAGCTAGTTCCAGGACAGGCTCCAAAGCTACAGAGAAACCCAGTCTCTAAAAACAAACAAACAAACAAAAAACCAAAAACACAAAAAAAGAAAAAACAAAACAAAAAAAACAAAGAAAGAAAGAAAGAAAGAAAGAAAGAAAGAAAGAAAGAAAGAAAGAAAAAGATCACTGTTTGCCAGGTGATGTTGGTAAAAGACCTCTGTAACAGGGAGACTCTCACTCAAGTCTCGGAATACCATGACCCCCCAGGAACTCACGAGAGACCGGGAGACCATCCTTGCTGCAATCATACAAGGTTTATTGACAGGGCAGGAGCCAGTGCACTGGGGCCGAAACCCATTTCCCACGCAGGGGTAGAGAGTTCGACCCCGAGTAGCTGGGAGAAGGGGTATTTAAGGAAAAAAACCACAACCCAGTAATCCAAAGTGGGTAGGGAGGACGTCATTGGAAAATTCCGAAAATACCAGTGATCATTGAAAAATTTCGAAAATAGCAGTGACTCCCTGTTTTCAAGATTATTTTCAAGATTATAATCTAACTTTATCTTCAGCTAGTTCCTAAAACAGAATCACGGAACCGGCTAACCTAGATTTTTGGCTCTATTTTTTCTGCTAGAGGGGTCTGGATTTATCCAGGTCTTTCACTGGCACACACCTTTAATCCCAGCCTCGAGGCAGAGGCAGGAGAATCTCGTAATTTGAGACCAGGAAGATTGAATTGACAGAGTGAGTTCCAGGACAGCCAGGACTACAGAGAAAAAACCCTGTCTCAAAAAACAAAAAAGTCGAGGAACACGGTATGTATTCACTCATAAGTGGATTCTAACCATAATTAAAGGTCTTTGAGCCTATTATTTGTGATCCTAGAGAAGCTAAATAAGAAGATGAACCTGATGAAGATTATTTAGATTTAGCTATCCGCCAGGAGGTAGGAAATAGACAAGAGTCCCAGGTAACCTCGGGTGCATGGGGGGGGTGGGAGGGTTGTCGGAAAGGGAGAGGGTTAGAGAGAAGGGAGTAGGGGAGGATTGGGGAAAGATCGGGGGACTGGGATGGGGGGGAGGGAGGAAGGATGGATATGGGATCAGGCAAGTATATACCTCAACTAAGGGAATCATTTTAGGGTTTACAAGAGACTTGATTATAAAGGGGATCCCCAGTCCAAGGAGAGATCCCCAGATGGTTCTCTGGACAGAGGAGAGGGTGCCTGAACCGGCCTTGGCCCACAACCATACTGATGAATATTTTGCATGTCACCATAGAACCCTCATCTGGCGATGGATGGAGATGGAGGCGGAGAACCACGTTGGAACACTGGACCTAGCTCCCTAGGTCCAAATGAGAGGCAGAAGGAAAGAGAACGTGAGCAAAGAAGGCAAGGGCAGAGGAAACCTTCATCCGACGTTGGATGGCGATACAGATGGAGACCCATATTGGAACACCGAACTGAGTACTCCACGGTCCAAATGAGGAGCAGAAGGATGAAGAAAATGAAAAAAGTAATCAGGACTGCAAGGGATGCGAGCACCCACTGATACAAGGGGACTGATATAATGAGAGTTCACCAAGGCCTGTTGGACTGGGACTGAACGAAGACGTGATCCAACCAGATTCTCTGAATGTGGCTGGCCTGGAGCCTTTTTGAAAAGCCATTGACAATGACACTGGGACTTGCTTCCTCTGCATATACTGGATTTTGGCGCTCCAGTCTGTTTGGACTCTCACCTTCCCTGGACCTGGAGGGAGGGGGGAGGAACTTGAACTTCCCACAGGGCAGGAAACCCTGACTGCTCTAGGGGATGGAGAGGGAGGAGGAGAGGGAGTGGGGGGAGTGGGAGGGGGGGCTGAAATGGAAACTTTTATAATTTAATAAAAAAAAAAATTTAAAAAAAACAAAATAGTCGGTGTTCGGGCAAAGTGAACTTCTGATTCTTGATCAGAAGCCACTGCAGAGAACGACTCAATAGATAAAACTCTGATAATTCTTGGAAGGAGCAGTCTTTACAGCCTTTCTTAACCATGTGCGCAACTTTCAAGGAAGAAGCCTGGCACACCTGCCCTGGAGGAACAAGACTGTCTAAGAACCAGGCCTGCCTGCTGTAACAAACAAGCCTAGGACGGGGACTCATGGAAAGGAACGCTTTTCTTTTCTTTTCCCTGCACTGAGTGATTTTTTCCCCCCAAACTGAAAATGCTGGTTGAGTCTGGGAGAACAGGATCCACTTCTCGGTGTGTAATAGTCTGTGACTGTAGGTCCCGAACAGCTAGGCCAGGCTTTAAGACACATGGGAAAGTCCTGAGGGCAGACAGGAGCTGAAAACGGATCTCTTAATATTCAGGAACATCTCATTTTAACCTTCAGAAGCGACTGCGGCCGTCGCACGGCACTTTCGGCCTACGGAACGCCTCAAGAGCAAGGCTCCTGGCATGCACGAAACCTAAATCTGTCATCTTAAAAGCGATGGGTACTGAAGAAAACCACAATTAAAGAATCTAAACATCATCTTTGCACCACATCACTTTGGGTACCAAGCACTAAGATTTGTCCTGTCTACTGGGAGAGAAGTCGTGATGCAGGAACGAGGCGGCTGGCGGAAACGTCCCCTTGCACTTCCGGCGTCCACTGCGGCAACTGCTGGAACCACGGCGAGCGCGCAGGTGCGTGTCGGCTGGGAACGCGGCCTTCCTGCCCGCGCAGGCGCCGGGCGCCACTTCCGGGACCGAGCCCGGGGAGCATCCAGAAGCCCTCGCGGTAGAGCGAGGTCACCCGGCGTTTCCCGAGACCTTGGCCCGGCGCCGGGGGCGTGGCTTGCGGGGGCGTAACCGCGGCGCTCCGCCAATCGGCGAACGGCGAGCCGCTAGTGCGGGGCCACGCCCCTGCGCCTGGCACGGACGGTCCCTCCCGGGAGACAGGAGCACCAAGGACGGAGGAAGCTGACTACAGGGAAGGAAGCGGACGACGGGGAGACACAGTCCGCTATCGCTTCCGGAAACCCGCTTCCACTGCGCAGCCCCCCGCGCGCAGCCTGACGGGAAAGCGCCGCCAAGCGGCCTCGCCTCGCCCCCGCCGCGGGGCACGCCGGGAGAAGCGCGAGCTCCCTGCGGCCTCCCCGGAAGTGTGTGTGGCTTCCCTGCCCTGTTCGCACTAAGTCCCGCCCCTGTGCCGGAAAGAGGGAAGTGTGAGGAGTGGAGCCAGCGGTGGTCACGTGGCACCAGTGCGGAAGCAGCGGGAGAGGGGCGGGGCAGTAGGCGTGGCGACCAGGTCACGAGTGGCCGGAAGTGGCGGCCTCTGCGGATCAGCGGATCATCGGAGATGGGGACCTCCCTGGATATCAAGATCAAGAGAGCGAATAAAGTGTATCACGCCGGGGTGAGTGGAGGGGCGACTCGCGGTCCTGCGCGATGACGGCTGGGGCGTCCGCGGGCGGGCGGGCGGGGTCCAGCCCCGAGCTGTTGCTCCTAACGGGGCTGCAGAAGGTGTACTTCAGTCCCTGGTCAGTCCCACTTTCGTGGTTTTAGAACACGATCACCCTGGTTCGATCCCCTGGATACACCAGCGATTGTAACACACAGCTAGCGTCTGCACACAGTTGAGTACAGCGTTTGGTCATACAAATGCAGTGTGCTGCTGAAAAGGAAGACATCCCGGTGAGCATCTTAAATGGACGCTGAAAACCGGAGACCTGACAGTTATAAAGATTCCAGTGACCCACACCACTTCCACCCTCACCACACAAAGCCACATTCAAAGATCCCCTCCCCCCAAAAACTAAACCCCAAACACCAAGGTTCCATCATCCCGTATAAAAGGGACTCTGGACTCTATGGCAAAATGCTAGATCACTGACAAAATACTTAATCAGTTTATAAAAGAAACAGTCTGTCCTGCCTCAGTTGAGGGAAACTGTCAATCGATTGCCATATCCTTGTTTGTTTGTTTGTTGTTTTGTTTTTCAAGGCAGGGTTTCTCTGTGTAACAGCTCTAGCTGTCCTGGAACTCACTCTGTAGGCCATGCTGGTCCTGAACTCACAGAGATCCACCTACCTTTGCTTTCTGAGTGCTGGGATTAAAGGTGTGCGCCACCACCTAGGTGCCAGCATGTGCAAAGCCCTGGGTTCAGTCCCTGGCACTGCATCAAACCAGCTGTGGTGGTGGATGCCCGCACCCTCACCACTTGGAGTTAGAGGTAGGAGGATCACAAGCTCGTGGTCACCTCAGCCGCATACCGAGTTTGATACAGCGTGGGATCCATGCTGGTTTCCCAGCACCCATGTCAGGCCACTCAAAACCACCTGGAACTCCCACTCCAGGGACTCTGACACCTCTGGCCTTCACTTGCACCTGTGCTCACACATGTCCACTCACAGACAACGTGCTGAACTTTGCCGTCGTAACCTCAGAAGGTGTAGCCATCAACTGTGGCTGTGCATAGGGACCTGCCTGTGTGTGCCGAACAAAATGAAATGTAGCAAAACCTAAGACTTCTGATTCCAGTCGAAAGCTATGTGGCTCTACTTTTCCCCCCAGTTAATATTTTGTAGAGATAAAATTTATATATAGATACACACATTAGAGATGTAATTTGGATACAGCAAAAACCAGCCCTTCATTTTTCTATTTATTTAAATGTTTATTTTGTGTTTTGAGACAGGGTTTCTCTGTAGCCCTGGCTGCCCTGGAACTGTCTCTGTGACCCAGGCTGGCCTCGAACAGAAGATATCGGGGTCTTAATACCAAGACATATGGCCTCCGTAGCCTTGTTCCCAGGGCAACCACCTTCTCCCCAAAAGTCTTCCCATCAGGTGAAAACCTGACGTCTAGTTCCATAGTTGGAGGACATTTTAATTTCCTGTGGGAGTATGTAGTATGTTCCGTAATAGCATGTGCTTGTATCACCTGCTCATGGCAGAGCGCTGTGTCCTTACCAGCCGTGAGACACTCAGTGGAGGGTCTCAGTGACATGGAAACATGGATGAGAGAATATCTGATTGCTTTTTTCTCTGTTTTCTTTAACGTTTACTTATTTAATATGTGTATGTTAGTATGTACGTAACACACACACAGACAGAGTCCATTCTTTTCTGTCCTGGGGATCAAACTCTGTAGTGCTTGGTGACAGGTACTTCCCTGTTTCTTTGGTCTGTCTGTCTGTCACTGCAGCCGAGGCCACCTGAACTTGCAGCAGTCCCCTGTTGTAGTATCTGGAGTGTTGAGATTGCAGTCAGGTTACTATGACAAGGGCTGTCTGTGCCATGGGGTGGTTACTGTTACCTACCCACCCTCAGAAGACCCCAGAACTCCATGTTCGTATTGTCTTTATGTGGCGTGGGTGTAACGTCTTTAAACTAGAGTAGAAACCTTATACACAACAGCTCGTTATCTAGAAGGAGAAGTTGCAGAATGGAAGTCCTATTTAAAAGTGAAAGCCCAGGATTGGAGAGGTGGCTCAGAGGCTCAGAGCACTGGCTGCTTTTATGAGGATCCTGGTTTGATTCCCAGCATCTACATGGTGGTTCACAACCAACTCAGGATCCCAGTTTCAGGAGAACCCACACCCTCTTGTGACCTCCAAGGGCACCAGGCATGCACAGAGTTCACAGGCATATACTCAGATAAACACCCATACTCATGAAACAAAATAAATAAACCTTTAAAAAGAAAGAACACATAATAGTCTAATTATTGTGCTTGTTTGAATGAGAATGGCTCTGTCAGCTCACATATTTGAATAGTTGGTCTGTAGTAGGTGGAATTTTTTGGGAAGGATTAGGAGGTGTAGCCTTGTTGGAGGAGGCAATATCACTGGGGTTTGAAGGTCCTGAAGCCCACACCAGGCCCAGTCTCTCTGTTCCGTGTTTGTGGATCAGGATATAAGCTTTTAGCTCCTACTGCCCCAGCACCTGCCTGCTGCTGTGCTCCCCACCATGATGGTCCTGGACTCACCCCTGAAAACTATAAGCAAACTCCCAATTAAACACTTTTGTAGGTTTCGTAAGTTGCCTTGACCATGGTGTCTCTTCACAATAACAGAGCAGTGACTAGGCTGTCCCGCTAGATTGCTAACATGAGCTATGGCGCTGTAAGCATGTAACGGACACCTGAACTGGGAGGACTGCAGGGTCTTGTGGAGGGCACTGCACCTTTGAAGCAGCACAGCTATGCGCTGTAAGTGGACCTCTCTCCTCACTTGTCACCTGATACTCCTGAGAAGGCTCGTTTCCTGATTCATAACCTAGTCCTTATGTAGTACATGAAAGATGTGTTGAGAATTATCCCAGCCTGTTTGAAAATGGGGCTGCAGCAAACTTGTCTTTATGGTCCTGTGCTTATCACAGCTGCTCCTGTGCTGGCCTGGACACTGGATCGCCTGCTTGTCCCCGCAGGGTGTTTGACTTGGGCTCTGCAGCTGGATAGGTCTAAGCCCTGCACATCAGGGCTGCTTGTACCGTTTCTCTGCTGAGCCATTGCTTGTCCTTCCCATCTTCATCCTGCCCCTCCTGCTCTATTCTGAGTTCTCTTCCATGCTGCTCACTAGGCCCTGGTGTGGCCTGAAATCTGCGTTCTCCATCCAGTTGTTTGTGCTGCAGTCTGCAGTGCCTGCTGTGTAGAGCCAGCCAGACCATTTGGCAGTTGGGCCCTGTGTTAGTGTCTTCTCATATTGCTGAGACAGTATGCCCCGGCAGAGGCAGCTCAGGGAAACAAGGATTGGTTTTGGCTCCCAGTCCATTGTGGAATCCATGATGAAGGGGCTCGAGGCGCTGGCCAGGCAGCGTCTGCAGTCAGGAAGCTGAGGATGTTGGTGCTCAGCTGCTCTGTAGTTAGGGTGGGCTCCTCACCTCAGTTAACCTAATCTGCACAGTCCTTCCTCACAGGCGGCCCAGGGCTGTCTCCTTTCAGGTTGACACTCAGCAGTCACACCACAGCCCCTCTCTCTACTGTTTCCCATTTGCTAGGTCCTCCCCACTCAGCACCCCATCAATGCCCCAGGCAGAGTCAAGTCCTAATGGCTTGTTCTTGCCTTCCACTGCAGCATACACAAGAGTGCTTTGTAGGTGGTCCTGGTGCCAGCTGGAGTTCATAGAGGAGTGGGAGGGCATGTGTTGGGTTGGGGGCCAGTGTGACTGCAGTTGAACACGGGACAGTCCTCTGTGACACCCATCCCTCAGTGTCATATCTTTGCCCTTTTTTATTGACTGACCTCTTAGCAAGGTAGATCATTTACGTATTCAAAGCGAAGCCACTCCTCTGCTTGCTCTCCATCAGCACTTCAGTTCCAGTTGAGTTTACGTGCACACACACACACACACACACAGCCGCCCCAGCTCTTGAGTGCTGCTAATACATGCTGTTTTCTCTGTGGTTTCTTCTCAACCCCAGACATTACTCTAGGCTTCAGCTTATTATCAGGGAGAATAAGTTTTTTCCATTTCATCCGTGTGTGTCCTTCTGTGTGTGCAGGTCAGAAGATAGCTAGTGGATTTGGTGCTGTCCTGACAGCAGGCTTGGTACCTTTACCCTAAGATTGACATTAGTAGACTGGGAGGAGTGGCCTCTTCCCTCCCGTCTCCTGCACAGGCTCTCACTGCTCTAGAGGAACAGAAACAAACCGGTGTCTGACAGCAGCATGCAGTGGAGAGACACTCACTGAGCTCAGAGTCACATTGTCTTGTCCTGTGATGTCCAGGACCGAGAGAGATCGCATGGTGCAGGGAACTGCTGCTGCAAGCATGATCTCCATGCATGTGCCCCCAGCCCCAGCTGGTCATGCATGACTTGGTAGAGCCACACCCTGGGCTGTGTGTCGCACACTCAGGCCACTGTATAGCTTGCCCACCCAGGGGGCTACAGATGAGCTTTTACCCTCAGCATTTTCTAGAGCAACTCTTTCTAGGCCACATGTGGAAGTTGAACTCTTCTCACATTTGCGTTGTAGCCGTGAAATGGTAACATCGGGCAGTTCCATACCTGAGGGAAAGTGGAAATGTTCACTGAGTTACGCCCTTCAGACATCGTTCATACAGGCATGCAGAGGAGGGATTTTTGTGGACTGCTTCCGTGCAGTGAAGAATTCTGAACAGTTTCGTATAGGACTTGATTATGTAGCCCACACTGGCCTACAATCCTCTTGCCCAGATGAACTCCCTCCCCCTCCTTCATTTTAGAATCTAGGTGTGTACCATCAACTCCAGCTTAGTTTTTTTTTTTTAAGATTTATTATGTATATACATTATGCCTGCTTGTTTGCCTGCACGCTAGAAGAGGGCACCACATCTCACTATAGATGGTTGTGAGCCACTATGTGGTTGCTGGGAATTGAACTTAGGACCTCTGGAAGAACAACCAATGCTCTTAACCTCTGAGCCATCTCTCCAGCCTGCTTAGTTCTTAACTATTTATTGCTGAGTTGTCCAACCTTGCATCCATCCATCTATCCATAGAAGGACATCTGGATAGATACAAGTAAAATTGCTATAATTGTTTATGCAGAGGTTCTGGGGTGAAGATAAGCTTTCATTTTCATTTTGACAAAATTCAGGAGTGGGTAGCGTTATCTCAATTAAAAAATATATATATATTTTTAAAGTGTGGCTGTGTGCGTGTGTGTATGTGAGCGCAGGTGCCTGTAGCGCACTCGATACGGAATCCCGAGTGGGGTTCTACGCACCTGTGGCCGCCTGACTTAGAGAAGCGGGAGCTCTTCCTGCAGGGCCATCTCCAGCCCCGCACTTCATTGCTGCATCACAGCGGCCACTCTGCTCGACCTTCTTCTTCCCGGAACGTCAGTGGACGCACATTCACTGCCCCTTCCTCACTGTGTGGAGAAACACCTGACGGCGTGGAATTTATCCTGCTTTCCAAACAAGACGGGAATGCTGCTCTTCACGCTGGTGGGAATGGACAGCACTGAACTCTCTCCAGCTCTGATGGCCGTTTTCTAAGCCAGAATGGGCTGAGAGCTCCTAGAAAGTAAATTTACTCACTGCCTCACTCTTATTTCCCACCCAGCTCAGGAACTTCATCGTGGTCAGTTTACTTGTTGGGCAGGGGTGGGCAGGGGTGGGACATCTCCACAGAGGGTATGAGTCTCTAAGCAGGATTGTCCAGGGAGCTGTGCTGTGCTGACTGGAGGCTGTCTCTTGTCCCCAGGAAATGCTGTCTGGTGTGGTGGTCATCTCCAGCAAGGACTCTGTCCAGCACCAGGGAGTGTCTCTGACCATGGAAGGGACTGTAAACCTCCAGCTCAGTGCCAAAAGTGTGGGTGTGTTCGAGGCCTTTTACAACTCAGTGAAGGTAAGAGCCAGCACAGTGCTGATGCCGTGCGTGTGCTGTGGTCGCGTTGCAAGGTTCATGGTCCGCACACAACCCTCAGTTGGTGTGTGTGTCTCTGTCCTGCTGGAAGACGTTTGCATGTGTCTGACCCTGGCTATGCTGCGGTTAGAGGAAACCACTAACTTCAGTTGTCCCAGGGCAGAGGTCCAGAAGTGCTCGTGGCCTGTGGTCCGTGCCTGTGGATCATACTTGTACCCTGCTCCTACTGAGCTCCACACCGAAGGAAGACACACTTAGAGTAGGGAGCACTTGTATGATTTTGTTGTTTGGGGTAGAGTTTATATTCTAGAAAGTTCCCCAAACTTAGGTTTTTTTTTTTCCCCTGAAGGCCATGTGAGCTCTTTTAGAGGAAGGAGTTCTCCTCCGAGGAGAACATGAGCTTATTTGGGTTTAGTAGGATCCTGCTGTTGCATCTGTCTAATTTTAATTCACTAGGGATTCTCTTGGGGTGATATTAAACCAAAGCTTCAAAAGTGTGAGGCCTGCAGGAGGTGGAGACCCATGCTTGTGGTCCAGTACTCTGGAGGCTGAGGCAGAGGATTATACAGGGAGACTCTATCTCATAAGATGAAATAAAATAGAAATTGTAAAAATTTGACTTCCTGAGTGATAATCCTATTTTACTCTCTGTGAAGCCCTCTGAGGACTCTTTGTGGGGAGCTGGGACTAGAGGAGAAGCCTGCCCTGCCCACAGAGCTCCAGTGCTGAGGTCTGGGGAGGCTGAGGCTGTGGGAACCGGGTAGCAGTGCTGCGAGATGCCAGGTAGGGAGGAGCCCTGGGCCACATGTCCAGCCTGGCCCCGCAGCATCAGTGCCAGCCTGCTTACTTATTCTGCAGATGGGGTTCTTAGGACAGTCCAGTGAGGCCTTTGAGCAGGACACAGGCACACCTGGGTTCAGCTCCTGCTGTGTACAGCACTGTAGGGCCCTGTGTTTGAAATGAGCCGTGTTGGACCAGTGAGATGGCTCAACCGCTGACAATCTGGATTGGATCACTAGGACCCATACAGTGGAAGGAGCACACTGAGCTCCAAAGTTGTCCTCTGACTTCCACGTGCATACTGGTACGTGTGTGCGCCTCACGCACACTCACTCATGCACACTAAATTAACTAAGTGTGGTAAGGAAAACTTTTAAAGAAGTGATCCATTGTTGTGCAGACTTAAAAACAGAAGCAGCTTACTGATTGTGTCCAGCCGGCACACCAGCAACTCAGGAGCATCCAGGTTCCCTGGTGTAGCGTGACTTCAGGGAGAGACAGACACAATGTGCTGATGGCTGAAGATGATTTGTGTTGACAGCCGATCCAGATTCTCAACAGCACCATTGACGTGCTGAAGCCAGGAAAGCTTCCCAGTGGCAAGACTGAGATTCCCTTTGAATTTCCTCTGCATGTCAAGGGCAGCAAGGTGCTGTATGAGACTTACCACGGCGTGTTTGTGAACATTCAGGTGAGTTCCTGCTCCACATCCTGGGCACCGTTGTCTTCCTGCTGAAGACCAGCTTGATGTTTCCCTTCACTGAAATTGCTGAACTCAAGGCTCTGATAATGGCTTGATTCCAAGACTGCTCATGTACATGCTGTATTGATTTCTCATTCTGTTCTGCTAACTGCATTTCGTGTATGATTTACTATTTGTGCAGTGCCTCATACATGCACACAGAGTTCTACCCTGAGCCCTGTGACCCTTGTATCGAGTAGGAGCCATGGCTATAACTTCTTCCTTCAAGTTCCTTTGTTTCTTTGCATTTTCTCAGGCCACGCTGACACCATCAGGGGCGCAGATCTGCTTCAGTCTCTTTCTGGCACCAGTGCTGACTTGTCTGTTTTATTCTTATGAGTATCCCTTTGTGTAATACCCAAAGGCTGCACTTCAACATAGGCTGTATTCTTCATTGAGCAAGCCTTGTAAATGAGGGGAAGTGGATTTATGACTTCCTGTCTACCTCTGCTGGTGAGGGATGGCTTTCACAGTTGCTATTGTCTCAGGAACAGAGCCCAGCCATGACTCAGCCAGAGCCAGAGCCCCTGCCTTCATTCCGTGCAAAGAAAGGTACTTTTGTGTAGTCTGCCTTGCAGCAGCTCCCTTGCTAAGTGAGAAAACCCAGCAGTCTTAGGATGCACAAAGAGGCAGGAGATTGGAAAGTTGTTTGATTTGTCAATCAAATTTCAATTGATCAAATTTGGACTTAGTAAATGCCACTCATTTGCTTAAAATCTAGCACATTAAAAAACATTTGGGGCAATTAACTAAGGGTTTATTCTAATGTGAGCTTCATGGATTGCTTGAAAGTCTGTCAAGGTTAGTGACATAGGATGGTGTACTGTATTGTCAAGGTGAATGACATAGGATG